ATTATGCAAGGCTACGTAAACTAAGGCCCTAATTGAAGAATTTAAGCCATCGAGTGATCGATTTCATCTTAATTACAAATTTTTAAAATTACTATAAATTAAAAATAAAAATCTCATTAGCTCGATTGCTCAAACGCTCCAATTAGATCCCAATCTTAACCTTAAATACAAAAATAATAAAAAAATCAAATGCAGTTTATTTAAAAAAAAAAAAGATTAATATTAATAAAAATAAAGATGGAATGTATGAATGTTAATAAAACTCTAACCATCTCATGTAAATTCAGTGTCTCCGTCTCCATATTTTATCAAAGGTTAGCATGGGCGTAGCCAGGGGGGGGGTAAGGGGAAATTCCCACCCCCTTCAGAAATTTATCACTTTTTATGAATATCATTTTAAGCTAATAAAAAATATCCCCCTTAGTCCTCCCCCCACTCCCTGACCACCAAAAATGTATGCATATATCTTAAACAATAATTTGAAAGAAAGAATGTAAAAGTTGATATTTTTTTATAAAACTATTCATCATAATTTATACATTTTTGGAAAAAAGCATTTATATATAAAAAAAAGTGAACCAAAAATGTTTTTTAAGAAATGGAATATAAGCCAAAGATAAGTCTTAATACAAAAGTGAAATGTATTATAATATAAAATTACTAAATAATATAATATATCAAATATAGTTTTTTATAAGTGAGTAATTTTAATTTATTTATTTTATAAAAGTAAAATATAATTATAAAACTATTGATAAAATTAAATCATAAATTAAATAAAAAAATTAAAGCACAATAACAGTGGAATATTATATGTCGTAGATTTACAGTATATCTAATTTTATCAATTATCATATGACAATCAGATAATTTTTACCAATATAGCAAATTATATATTTTGCAGAAAACTATAAAATATTGATAAGGACATCAGAAAATATCTTTTACAGGGACATTGTGGGATGAATAATATGAATATTAATTTTTAACTAGTAGAAAACCCGTCAAAAATGACGGGGAATGAGATTTTTATTCATTTTTTACGATAGATGTCATGCCAGGTCCAAGCTCAGAATATTAGGAAGCATATAATTATAAAAAAGTTTATCAAGCCCAGCTCAACCCTTAATAATTTATAAAAGATAATGTCAGGTGCAAGCTAATATTGATTTTGAGGTTCCAAGCCCAGTCGTATCCAATATAATTTTGTTCCCACCTCGGAGATAGTTAAATTTTTAATTGATTTATCAAGGGGAAATATCTGATTTACCAATTAGTCTAAGATGTAAAAAAAAACATGCGAATTCCGTATTAAGGGAAACTGGGAAGGCCTGGGCAAACCACTTATCAGAGAATCATGACAAATAAAATAAAAATAACTGACTCTTATACTTTTTGGTAAAATGATCAATTAAAATTATATATAAAAAATAAATTGTTGTTTATTATATAAGGTTATTGTAGCTTTTCGGATAAATTTAATGTATGTCTTGCATTTCCCAAATTATTTGTCTATAATTTTATGTTAAGTAAAAAAAATGCTATCTATTTAAATTACAAAAATGCCATTAAACACTAATGAAACTTATATGCAAATTATATATATATATTTTTTAAGAAAATATTTTTTATTGACATATAAATTTAGGCTAATTTTTTAAAAAAATAATGAGGAATAATTATTATGTTGTGTATTTGATAAAATTAAGAGCAAATCCTTGTTGACATTTTTATTTTTGATGGAAAAGGGACAAAATAAATCTGGAAGGTCGTCTGGAGAGGAAATAATTAATGTACAATTTCATATCATTTAGGCGTGTAGATGAAAGTAATGACGGATTACCAAAGCAGTGAACAAAACACATAGGTCCTGATAAAGATGAGGCATATGCTTATGCCTTGGGATACTGGTAAAAGAAAAACGCAAAATGATATTTCTGTCAATTTCAGCATTGGTAGCCCTTCTAAAATAGAACCATGAACGACAAGGTTAACTCAACCATAAAAAGGTAGTAAGAATTGTTATAAAGGCCACGACAGAATTACTGCATATTTTTCCATTAATAAAGTTGATGAAAATGGCCGTACTGCACAACCACGTTTGAACATTCTTCCAAATAATCATGAAAGTTTCTCAGAGAATCGGATAAAGTAATATTTATAATAACTCCTAGTGAAGTGAATAATAGTACGGAATTGAATGCTTATATTTGTTATAAAGTAGGCAGAGGTGGCATAGGGATTGTGGTAGTGGTGATAGAAATATCATTTGGAGACAACTGGGTGAAAATAAAATAAACATATAAATATAAAACATAAGATAAAAAAAACAAAATAAACCTCCAGAGGAGTTAATTTCAAGCGTAGTTCTTTATTATTTTGTCTACCAGTAACTCTAGAACGGGCAAGGCGTTTGTTTATTCGTTATCATTTTCTTTGCTTATCTTTAATAGATTCATCATGTTTTGTAGCAATGTGAGGGATTAAGGTTGGGTTAGCCTAGACAAATAAAGAAATTAGGCAAAAATATAAATAAATATTATTATTGAAATAAAACGAACATTAAAATACTCTAAACAAGTAGATGGGTCAATATTAGATGCATATATCTAGTAGTTGGAGGGATATTATCAGAAAAATTTGGGGGGAGGGGGGACTTATCAAGCCTATTTTGATATTCTAAGGTTTATTTCATTTGTTCATTACTAATGGCTGATATATCAATATTTGAACAAATATAAAGAGGAAATAAGATGGGGATAGTTTTCTAAAGTAAAAAAAATAATTCTCAAGTTAATTTTATAAGGTAGGAATAAAATAAAATACCATTCGGAGGGATCAATTGGCAAACTTAAAAAAAAAATAGGATCCTTGTGAATAAGTATAGAATAATCTAATAAATATATAAATACCGTATGTATATTTTTTGGAATAAATATAAAATCATAAAAATAGAAAAATAGAAAACCTCGTTTAGTATTTTTTATTGAAAGAATAAAAAGGAGTATTTTTAAAAAAGGTAGGAACTTTAAGAATAAATATATATTTTAAATAGGCATATTCAAAAACGAATTCGAATCGAATAGTGCATTATTCATATTCGATTCATTTAAACGAATCGAATAAAATTTACTTTTTAAATTCGTACGAATAATAATATCTACTATTTGTATTCGATTCAAATTATTCGAAATATTCGAATAATTCGAATTAATTTTTTTAATAAAATAAATCATACTCAAATATATTGACAAATTTTTTTATTACAAATTTGATTTTTAAACAAAAAAAATTATAATAATATGTAATCAATAATCTGATAATAAATAATATATAATCAAGTTATAAACAAAATTAAAATGTATTATTATTAATTTAATTTTTAATTTAAGCCAATTTTTAAGGCAAAGAGTTTTTCTTATATTTTCTTTATATGATATGCGGTTTTTTGGCAATAAATTAGTTCCAACTGAGAAAAGCCTTTCACAAGCAGTTGATGTTCCTTGTATAGATAGATAATCCTTTGCCATTTTCGAGAGTATGGGGATCCGATATGCATTCGCCTTTCATCACATTAACGCGTCAGTATCACTCTTTGCTCTTGGTTCACTCAGATAAAAATCTATTTCACACAGTTGAATATTATTTTGTTTAAAAACAATGTCTAGCCTGTTTTGTTGAATTTCATTCTTATTTGTTTGACAGTTATAATTATGAGCTTATAAAATAAAATCATATTTAAATGGGGGTAAATTAAATATCTGTATATCTATTGTAAATCTCTTTAAATTAGTCCATTAACTTGGATATATCAATATCATAATCGACAGATATTGATTTAAAATATTCTATTTTAAGCCAGGGATCTAATATTGTGGTTATTATTGTATCATCGGCAGTTAAATTATAATAGCCCAACAATTTATCACATGCTACTTTGAAACTATTGTTAGAGGATTTATAGAAACCAGGTTTTTCATTTTTTAGATGTTCAAGAATTAAAATATAATAAGGTATAACCAAATTATAAGTAGGATAATTCTCCCCACATACCATATTTGTAGTTTTATATAAAGGCAATAGGATAGCTTTAATTTTCATAAGATCCTCCCATTCTTCCTATATGTTATCAAAGTATATTATTACCTAATTATAAATTTTAGTTTACATCTGATATTTGTTTTTCTTGAATAATTTTAATATTAGTTATTACTTCATTAACTAATTTTGTTATAGCAGGCTTTAACAATAAGCCCCTTTCAATAATTTGGTAGGTGCTATTTCACCTTATTTCACAATCCAATTTTGGTTTTTAAAAATTTAGGGGAGGATGTAGGGAACTACATATATTTTTTAATAAATTTAATTTTTTAGGGGAATCACAAATCATTCTAATAATGTTTCTTAGTTTTAGAATTGAAGGATCTAAAATTTTTAAAATTTCTTTGGATATTAAATTAATTACATGTGCAAAGCATCGGATGTGCCCTATTTTTATTAATGGATATTTTAAAGAAAATGTATCAATAAATGTTTTATTATTAGTTGCTATCTAAAGTTATATAAATATTTTTCTCTAAATTATAATTTTTAATTATTTTAACAAAGGCTTTAAATATATTTTCACCTGAATGTGTTTCATTTATTGGACTTAGTGTTGCGTAATCGGCTAAAAACTACGCCTAAGCCTAATAAGGCTAAGCCTAAAAATCGGCTAAAAAATCGGCTAAGCCTATATAAATCTGCTAAAATTAAATTAGTCAAAATTCTGCATAGATGCTTAGTATTAATTATTATTTATTTATTTTAGTAAAATAATTTATTTTATTTATTTATTATTATCAACTAAACATGATATGATTTAATATTTTTTATTTATATTATTATATTTTGAAATGAAAATAAATTTATTTATTTGATGTTATTTTAATAAAAAAAATAATATGCTGCTATATTGTAAAATTTTTTTTTATTTTTTTTTTGTTTATTCCTTAATTCGCATGCCCCCAGTTCTTTCTAGGATCCCTATAGCCGCCCGAGAGTCTATCTCAAGGTTCCTCACGTCACTTATAAATAATTTGAATTCGGATTTCTCCTCACTACCCTTATGGTTAGACCTGGTTAGTTTTTGTTTTCGAGTCCTAGTTAAACCCAAAAATAAAATAAATAACTTATCTGCCTTAATTAAGGAAAAAGTTTCCAATTTTGGAAATACAATTATCGATGAATTTTCTCCTTCTTACGCTTTAAACCCCAACTCCTTCCGTCACAAATTGATCTCCGAAAAATTAGATCTTGGAGATATTAGCGGTGCGGCCCGAATATTGTCTTCCGATGACTCTATTTCACCTATCAACGTTACCATATTTAAACAACTTCTTGAAAAACATCCACGAGCGTCCCCTTTTAACATCCACCCGCATGCCTCCTCCCCTATTCCCTTTACCTGTGACGAAGTACTTAAGTGCTTAAAGTCCTTTAGAAAAGGGACGACAGGTGGGTTGGACGGCTTCCGACCTGGTTTCTTTGTGGAGCTAATTCAATGCTCTGATAGTGGTTTCATCGACCCTTTGTTGAAAGCATTAACCGAACTGTGCAATAATATCCTCGTACGCGAAGTTCCCCTTTGCATTCGTCCAATTATTTTTGGCGCCCGTCTTGTCTCCTTGACCAAACCGGATGGCGGCGTTAGACCCATAGCCATAAGGTCATTCTTTCGTCGTTTAGTCGCCAAGGCTATTGTAAATAGGATTCGGCCTAAGGCCAGTTCCTTCTTATTTCCTTCACAGTTAGGATTTGGAGTGAGAGGTGGGTGTGAAGTGGCCTCACATGTTGCGCGTATTTTTATAAATACTGAGGCCGATAAGGTTTTCTGCAAGTTAGACTTCAGAAATGCCTTCAACACCATCCATAGGAGGGCATTCTTACCATCTTTTTTACACCATTTCCCAAAATATGGGAATTTCCTTAATTCCTGTTATGGATTCCCTTCGTTACTCAAATTCGGGGAATTTTCCATATCTTCCGAAGAGGGGATACAGCAAGGTGATCCTCTAGGCCCCCTGCTCTTTACTATTGGGATTCATGATTTGATCAAAAATTTAAAGTCTAATTTCCAATTAGACCTTAATTTATGGTATCTCGACGATGGCTCTTTTGGCGGTTCTTTATCCAATGTTATGTCGGCCATAGAGTACGTTGAAATGGAAGCCTCGAAAATTGGTCTTTCCCTAAATAGGAAAAAGTGTGAAATTTCCTCCCTCAACAATAAGGATTTTATTCCTCCCTTAGATTTTACAATCATTCCGCACGAGGAACTCTGTCTTTTAGGTTCCCCTATCGGTTTTTCAACCTCCTTTTGTCAAAAAACTTTTGACGATTTGATCCAGTCCCTTTCCAATTCACTCAAGAATCTTCCTCATCTCCCCAAGCATCAGTTCTTCTTTCTCACCAAAAATGTCTTTTTCTACCTAAATTCTTACATTTATTTAAATCTTCCACCGTTTTCCAGTACAATACTCTCCTTAAGGTCTTCGAATTAAAATTTAAACATTTTATCGAATCCCTTTTAGGCTTAAATTTTTCCGATTTCAATTGGTCCCTCGCCTCTATGCCCGCTTACCGGGGTGGACTGGGATTGTCACCCCCCTTCCTTATGGCAATTGCGTGTTTTCTTTCATCTCGAATATCTTTCGCCGATTCTATTTCCTCGCTTATCGAGTTGGACGATCCCCTTCTATCTTCAGCTAAACAAGAGTGGCTTACTCTAATCACCCAAGGCTCCGAGCAGCCAATTTCCTGTCATCTAAAGAGCTTCCTGGTCCCTATGCTTCAATGCTCGTTTGAAAAACTTTGTATGTATCCTGAGCTAACTAACCTTCAACTGCTCAGAAACGCAAAAAAAACTCTAACGGCCATGAATGGCTAGACGCAATTCCGAGTGGTAAAAAGGAAACGTTACTCACAGACGATGAGTTTCAAACTGCCATTGGCCATAGGCTTGGTTGCTTTATCCCTTCTGTGGACACCTGTGCTGCCTGTCACAAACAGGTTGATCCTTTCTCTAGACATTGTTTCTCGTGCCTCAAAGTCAGTGGCCGTTTCCTGAGGCACGACAACCTTAATAGGTTAATCGGCAAAGCCTTGATTTCGGCCGGTTTCCCCAATAGCTTGGAGCCATTGGGTCTCCTAAATGCTGACGGTAAGCGCCCTGACGGCATGTCTTTAACGTCTTGGCACGGCGGCAAAAGACTTGTGTGGGACGTCTCTTGTGTTACCTTTCCGGCTAACGGAAATACCGACCCCTTGGAACTACAAGAAACCAATAAGATTAATAAATATAGATTCCTCCCTAACTCTTTTATATTTATTCCCCTAATTTTTAGCGTCCTTGGAAACCCCGGTCCCCAATCCCTAAAGTTCTTAAATCAATTGGGTAGAAGAATTTCGTTAAGGACAGGGGTTAAAAACGAGTCCCTATCTCTTAAACAAAAAGTCCAATTTGAAATCCTAAAGGGGAACTACAAATGTTTCTTCGAAACACTCCTATTTCACTCCTAGTTTATCAAATATAGTCATTTGTTTTATATTAAAAACTATTTTGTTAATTTATATATATTTTGCATCGCAACTATATTTAGATTTTAACCACAAAAAAAAATATTTTTTCGTTATAATTAAACGTTTATGTTTTAATATATATATATATTTTTTTTCCGAGTATGTACTATGTATAATTATAATTATATTTTACATGATAAAGTAAAAATTTCTTAAATAAAAATAAGAATATTATTTTTATTAATCAATAACTTATTTAAATATTCTTTTTAATATAATTTATTAGTGATTTTCACAATCTTCTTTATAAATACATCTTTTATTGAGGAATTATATTGTAAATTTTATTAGATAAATAAACAATCTTTTAGGTGAAATCTTTTATAATTTTTTTATCATTTTTTTAAAATTATCTATTTTTTATTAAATGAGGTGGATTTTATGAAACTTTTTTGATGATTTTATATGATCTTTTTAAGGATAATATTTTAATGTGACAATTGTCATAATCGTTATTTTATAGGTTTTTTGAATTTTTTTGAAGAAAATAGGTTAAAATAAGTATTAATAACATGTGTAAATATAAATTTAGTGAAGATGTACCAAAGAAAAGTGACAATTGTCATAATCGCTATTTTTAAAGTTTTTTGAATTTTTTTGACGACAATATGTTAAAATAAGTATTAATAACATGTTTAAATAAAAATTTAGTGAAGATGTACCATAGAAAAATGACAATTGTCATAATCGTTATTTTTAAAGTTTTTTGAATTTTTTTGAAGAAAATATGTTAAAATAAGTATTAAAAACATGTTTAAATAAAAATTTAGTGAAGATGTACCATAGAAAAGTGACAATTGTCATAATCGTTATTTTATACGTTTTTTGAATTTTTTTGAAGAAAATAGGTTAAAATAAGTATTAATAACATGTGTAAATATAAATTTAGTGACATTTGTCATAATCGTTATTTTATAAGTTTTTTGAATTTTTTTGAAGAAAATAGGTTAAAATAAGTATTAATAACATGTGTAAATATAAATTTAGTGAAGATGTACCAATGAAAAGTGACATTTGTCATAATCGTTATTTTTAAAGTTTTTTGAATTTTTTTGAAGAAAATATGTTAAAATAAGTAGTAAAAACATGTTTAAATAAAAATTTAGTGAAGATGTACCATAGAAAAGTGACAATTATCATAATCGTTATTTTATAAGTTTTTGGAATTTTTTTGGAGAAAATATGTTAAAATAAGTATTAAAAACATGTTTAAATAAAAATTTAGTGAAGATGTACCATAGAAAAGTGACAATTGTCATAATCGTTATTTTATACGTTTTTTGAATTTTTTTGAAGAAAATAGGTTAAAATAAGTATTAATAACATGTGTAAATATAAATTTAGTGAAGATGTACCAATGAAAAGTGACATTTGTCATAATCGTTATTTTATAAGTTTTTTGAATTTTTTTGAAGAAAATAGGTTAAAATAAGTATTAATAACATGTGTAAATATAAATTTAGTGAAGATGTACCAATGAAAAGTGACATTTGTCATAATCGTTATTTTTAAAGTTTTTTGAATATTTTTGAAGAAAATATGTTAAAATAAGTAATAAAAACATGTTTAAATAAAAATTTAGTGAAGATGTACCATAGAAAAGTGACAATTATCATAATCGTTATTTTATAAGTTTTTGGAATTTTTTTGAAGAAAATATGTTAAAATAAGTATTAAAAACATGTTTAAATAAAAATTTAGTGAAGATGAACCATAGAAAAGTGAAAATTGTCATAATCGTTATTTTATAAGTTTTTTGAATTTTTTTGAAGAAGATATGTTAAAATAAGTATTGATAACATGTTTAAATAAAATTTAGTGAAGATGTACCATAGAAAATTGACATTGTCATAATCGTTATTTTTAAAGATTTTTGAATTTTTTTGACGAAAATATGTTAAAATAAGTATTAATAACATGTGTAAACATAAATTTAGTGAAGATGTACCAAAGAAAAGTGACAATTGTCATAATCGTTATTCTTAAAGTTTTTTGAATTTTTTTGACGAAAATATTTAAAAATAAGTATATATAACATGTTTAAATAAAAATTTAGGGAAGATGTACTCTAGATAAGCGACAATTGTCATAATCATTATTTTTTAAGTTTTTTGTTTTTGTTGACGAAAATATGTTAAAATGAGTAATAATAACATGTTTAAATAAAAATTTAGTGAAGATGTACTATAGAAAAGTGACAATTGTCATAATTGTTATTTTTTAAATTTCTTTGATGTAAATGGGTAAAAATATAGATTGTAAAATTAAAATTGCCTGAGTATATGCCATAGAAAAACATATGGTAATAATAGATTCTTCCCCAAAAACAGGAGCAAATTGGCATTTTATTACATTTGTTCATCGGGTCAGAAATTAATATGCAAAATTTATATCATAATATCTAATCCTAAGTTAGAAATTATTATTTTTTTACCAATTTTCACCAGACAATCTTGTTTAAAATTTGGGTAAACTTTTTTTTCTATTTTAAAATCAATATCGATGCAAGTTAACTATTTTCGTCAAAAAAAATCAAAAAACTTTAAAAATAACGATTATGACAATTGTCGCTTATCTATAGTACATCTTCACTAAATTTTTATTTAAACATGTTATCAATACTTATTTTAAAATATCTTTGTCAATAAAATTCAAAAAACTTTAAAAATAACGATTATGACAATTGTCACTTTTCATTGGTACATCTTCACTAAATTTATATTTACACATGTTATTAATACTTATTTTAACAAATTTTCGTCAAAAAAATTTAAAAAACTTTAAAATTGACTATTATGACAATTGTCACTTTTCATTGGTACATCTTCACTAAATTTATATTTACACATGTTATTAATACTTATTTTAACAAATTTTCGTCAAAAAAATTTAAAAAACTTTAAAATTGACTATTATGACAATTGTCACTTTTCATTGGTACATCTTCACTAAATTTGTATTTACACATGTTATTAATACTTATTTTAACATACTTTCTTCAAAAAAATTCAAAAAACTTATAAAAGAACGATTATGACAATTGTCACATTAAAATATTATCCTTAAAAAGATCATATAAAATAACATCAAAAAAGTTTCATAAAATCCACCTCATTTAATAATAAATAGATAATTTTAAAAAAATGATAAAAGATTTCACCTAAAAGATTGTTTATTTATCTAATAAAATTTACAATATAATTCCTCAATAAAAGATGTATTTACAAAGAAGATTGTGAAAATCACTAATAAATTATATTATAAAGAATATTACATTTTTACAATATAGCAGCATATTATTTTTTTTATTAAAAAAACATCAAATAAATAAATTTATTTTCATTTCAAAATATAAATAAAAAATATTAAATCATATCATGTTTATTTTTGATAATAATAAAATATTTACATTAAATATAAATAAAATAAATTATTTTACTATGCAGAATTTTGACTAATTTATTTTAGCCAATTTTTAGGCTTAGCCCATTTTTAGGCTTAGTTAATTTTTAGGCTTAGCCGATTTTTAGGCTATACCTAATTAGGCTTAGCCGATTTTTCCACCTAAAATCTCGGCTAAGCCGTTTTTAGTCGGCTAAAATTAGCCGATTACGCAACACTTATTGGACTGACATCCAAAATTATGTTATTTATTTTAAAATTATCAATAAAATGGGCTGTTAGCCCTAAAAAAGGATGTGTGGGCTAGTCCAAATGTCAGATGAAAAATTAATCTGACTTTTATTTTTAGATATTATTTCCTTTACCAACTGTTCTTTTTCTGCAAATGTATTATACAGCAATTTAAGAGTATTGTAGCATATTGATTTTACAGAACAACAAGATCACTTATACAATTTTTAAAATAATTTGAATCAATAATTTTAAAAGGTATATTATTATTTATAAATAATTTTAATAAATTATTCTTAAAATTTTTTTTTTTGAAGAATTTGGTGTAGACTTTTTACTAAAGTGTGAATGAAACCTATTATAATGATTAATAAGAGGAGATGTTGTTTTGCCTTTACATTTTATAATACTCTTGCAATGATAGCAAGCAGTCTTTTCACCGTCTTTAACGATTTGATATTGATCCCATATGATTGCTCTCTTTTGTGAGGAAATTTTCTCATCTTCAACATCAATCATAATTTCATCAGAAGCATTCTCCTCTAACATAATTAGGCCAGCTAACAATAATTATTGTAGAGATGTAATATATTTTTATATACCTCTGGTTTGTGTAATTTTTAATATAATTTATTATGAGATTCAAAAAATGTGGCAAATAAAAATTTAAATTTTCACTTCAGAAATTTTTAAATTTGTGCTAGAATTTTTATAAACACAAACACATCACCTGTCAGGATTGGCAGGTCAACAAATAGAAATGACAATGTTAGATTTATTAAACAATTTATTAAATATTACAAATAATTCGTTTTATTCGAATCGAATAAATGATTATACGTATTCAGATAAAACAAATAATTTATTATTCGTATTCGTAATTATTCGATTAGATTCGAATTATTCGAATCGAATCGAATATTCTAATTATTTTTGAATAGGCCTAAATAAAAATAAATATTATAATATATAATTTTTAGAATAGATATAAAATCATATATAAAAATAATAATAATAAAAATAATGTACTATGTATATTTCTTTGAGCATTATACAAAATAATCAGCAGGAATAATAGAGCAATGGTGGATCCGACAAAATGATAAGCTTTTAAAAAGTAGGATCCTTAAAAATTGTTATATTAATTTAGTTAAATTTTAAAAATGTACTTTGTATAATTTTCAGTTAGACAAAATATTCATCAGAGATAAAAGGGCATAATGTGCGGTCCGACAAAATGGATAGCCTTAAAAATATGTAGGATGCTTAAAATAATATAAATTTATTTAAATTATAAAAAAATATTCGATTTTTTGGAATAGATATAAAATCATATATAAAATTATTTATAATAAAAATAATGTACTAAGTATATTATTTTATGCGTTATATAAAAATAATCAGCAGGGATAATACAATGGTGGATCCGACAAAATGGTATACTTTTAAAAAAGTAGGATCCTTAAAAATTATTATATTAATTTAGTTAAATATTAAAAATGTACTTTGTATATTTTCCAGTTAGTTAGACAAAATATTCATCAGAGATAAAAGGGCATATTGTGCGGCCCGGGAAAATGGATGGCCTTAAAAATAGGATGCTTAAAATAATATAAATTTATTTAAATTATAAAAAAATATTCGATTTTTTGGAATAGATATAAAATCATATATAAAATTATTTATAATAAAAATAATGTACTATGTAAATTTTTTTGTGTGTTATACAAAATAATCAGCAGGGATAATAGAGCAATGTGGATCCGACAAAATGGTATACTTTAAAAAAAGTAGGATCCTTAAAAATTGTTATATTAATTTAGTTAAATATTAAAAATGTACTTTGTATATTTTTCAGTTAGTTAGACAAAATTTTCGTCAGAGATAAAAGGACATATTGAGCGACCCGAGAAAATGGATAGCCTTAAAAATACGTAGGATGCTTAAATAATATATATTTATTTAAATTATAAAAAAATATTGGATTTTTTGTAATAGTTATAAAATCATATATAAAATTATTTATAATAAAAATAATGTACTATGTGAATTTTTTTGTGCGTTATACAAAATAATCAGCAGGGATAATGGAGCAATGGTGGATTCGACAAAATGGTATACTTTTAAAAAAGTAGGATCCTAAAAATTGTTATATTAATTTAGTTAAATATTAATAATGTACTTTGTATATTTTTCAGTTAGTTAGACAAAATATTCATCAGACATAAAATTATCATAAGACTAACATTTAACATTAAAAAATCCCAATATAGGTTCAAGCCCAAATATTTGGGAATAATTTCCAAGTATTCAAGATCTTAATAATTTAAAAAAAATTTCTCAAGCCCAGCTCAATTCCTAATAATTTTGAAAACCAAGCCAATATAAATATGAAATATATTTTTTAAGCCCAGTCCAACCCATAATAATTTTGAAAAAGTTTTCCCCAAGACCAGAGATATTAAATTTATAATTAATGAAGGGGAAATCTCTGATTTACCAATTAGTCTACAGGTAAAAGATATTTCTTTATAAAAATATTAACATAAGACTAACATACATTAAAAAATCCCAATATAGGTTCAAGCCTACAATATTTGGAAAAAATTTCCATGCATCCAAGATCTTAATAATTTAAAAAGATTTTCTCAAGCCCACCTCAATCTTTAATAATTTTGAAAACCAAGCCAATATTAATTATAAGAAATATTTTTTAAGCCCAGTCCAGTCCAACCCATAATAATTTTGAAACCAAGCCCAGAGATATTAAATTTATAATTAATGAAGGGGAAATCTCTGATTTACCAATTAGTCCACGGGTAAAATATATTTCTTTATAAAAATATTAACATAAGACTAACATTTAACAATAAAAAATCCCAATATAGGTTCAAGCCTACAATATTTGGAAAAAATTTCCAAGCATCCAAGATCTTAATAATTTAAAAAGATTTTCTCAAGCACATTTCAATCCCTAATAATTTTTGAGAACCAAGCCAATATTAATTTTGAGAAATATTTTTTAAGCCCAGTCCAACCCATAATAATTTTGAAAAAATTTTCCCAAGCTTAGAGATATTATAATTATAATTAATGAATGAGAAATCTCTGATTTACCAATTAATCTATGAGTTAACTCTTAATTTGTAATATTTAGTAAATAATGTATTACTTTGACAATTGGTTTTAATACTTGCATAGAAAACTTAAGTTATAGGATCATCTGTTTGTATAAAATAAATAAATAAAATCAACAAATAAAAAAACGTTACGATGACATGAAGCGATGACGTAGTGAGGACATCGGAAAATTATAATAAAGATATTATTTTTATTTAAAACAAATAGATGGCGTTAAAATTGAATGCAAATTGTTGCTATATTTATTATCAAGAGCATTGATTAGTAAAATTTGTTAAAATATTAACTGTAATATATTGTCTAACTGTCAAATATGTCTGTAATAGTGGAATTTTACTTAGTATTTTGTAACCAATTCTATATAATAGAGGAATATCAACTATTTGTCTACTTACTTTTTATAAATAAATTTCTTATACTTGTTTGGAATAAATTATTACCATGCTTTTATATTAATGTATTTACAAGTAATTTATTATATTTTATATAAACTAATAAAAATATATTTAATATTTGTATTTTTTTATTAAAATTAGCCTCCTATATTGTAAAAATATTTTATGACTATATATAGACTAAGGTATGGCGTATCCAGGATTTTCTTATAGGGGGGAAAAATTTTTTGGGGACTTCGCCTCCAAACCCCTTCTACCTGGCTATCGGCCAGCTTTCCCCCGGCGTTCGGCCGGATCTTATTTAGCTATTCTATTAAATTATGAATAATTTAATAATAATTATATTTCTATTTTTAACTATTGTTTACTAATTCGTGCTTATGGATAGGATATTACAAGCCTCTTTTTTATTATTTCAAGTTAGGTATATTATATTTAATAAAGTTTTTTTAAATGTAAAGGTTTATTTATGTGTAAAGTTGAAATAAAGTGTAATGTCATTTTTTTTAAATTTGCTTTAAAAACTAGCCTCAGCTTAAATTCTCATACAATATAAGTAGAATATAATTTTTTTTATTGAAAATACTAATAGTAGTTAAAAATATTGACTAGAAAATAATTAAATTAACAAGTTTTTTTTAACTTCTTATCAAATACAAGATTTTTAATTATTTCGTTTGTCTTTGGAACCAAATCTCTGTGTATATTTAACAGAGCTAACCCATTTAGCCGAGATTCAGTACTTCGTAAATATGTTTTCAACCTTCTCAAGTTGGAAAAAGTCCTTTCATTCGTACATGTTGTAATAGGCAAACATGCAAGAATATAAAACTACTTCGAAATATTAGGAAATTGAGCCAAGGTTTCTTTACACCGATTGAGCGCATCAATAGCATGCTCAGGTAAAATAGCTAAACGTATAAATATTTATACCACAATTCGAATTCACTGATTAAATTTATTTCATTATCAATCTCATAGGAATAAAATTTTTCTAAATATTTAATTTTACCAATAGTGGCATTAGAAAATGAAGAAGGATCTTTAGGTAATAAAACTTGAAGATTGCTAAAGACTTGTTTTTTATCTAAAACCCGTACTTTTATTTGCTATAAAAAAGTATCTAAGAATGGGATGAAAATGGATATTTTATAATATTCTTCAGTTGAGCCAATATTTATTTTCATCTCAATAATGGCCTAGGTGCTAGACGAGGTTTAATTAGTATTATATCATAAAATTAAGCCTTCGATTCAACGAATATTTATCTACATTCATTCTTATTGTATCTACCTGTTCATGTATATTTTCCAATGTTCCGCCAAATCAATAACTTGAACCAAATCTAAATTTGGTTTTTGTAAATTTCTACAAAGTAGTGAGCTAAAAATAATTTATTGATGCAACTAGCAGCAATGATAAACTCTGATTGATCAATTGAATTCAATAATGATATCGCTGCTAACGACACATTACTTTTTTTCATGCTCAGCCTTATTTATATATTATCGTTTGATTTCAATCTCTTTGAGTAAATATTTTTCCATTTTATTAATATTTTTGAATAATATGTTGGAAAATTGATATTCAAATATTTGTAAAATTTTGATTGGTGGGGGGGGGGGGAATCTGGGGGGTTGGGGTAAAATTTTTATTAGCTTAAAATGATATTTATGAAAATAGTCAAATTTGCGATGGGGGGGGGGGGAATTACGCGCCTGCCTATGAAGGGTAGTTATTAGAATTTTAGTGGCTAGGGAGTAATACTAAAAATAAATCTAGGGGGGGGATGAGACTCTAAATTCCTACATATTATTTAGATATGATTTTATGTTATCTCATGTAAATTATGATGTAAAGGAACCCACACACAGGTTTAATTTTAATAGAGTGTGAGTTGTATCAACGAAGTAGATGTGTTGCTTTGCAGTACATGTGTTCATAAAATCAAATAGATTTTAGCTATATAGAGCTCAGCATCTAACATTTGATTAATTTCAAAAAAATATATTTTAAAATTTATTTTTTAAAGATATATATTTTAGATAACAAATAATATTAATAACTAAATATTATTTGCCAGATAATTCACCTTTATTTCCTAATTTTATAGACAATTTTTTAGTTTCTCAAGAAATAATTTATTAACAATTATGCTGTATAGTAATTAATAATATAATCTTATTTGATTTGAAACTGAAAGTATGGGTTAACAATTATTTAAATTTTTAGTGGATTATAAGTTAATCATCTTGAAAAACATTTTGAAAAAACTTAAAAATGCCTAAATTTCGTAAAGGAGATCTTGTATGGTAAAACAGAATATTTATTATGTTATAGTTTTTTTTAACGTATTTTTACTCTTTAACTCTTGGGAATTAATATAATATTTTAACCCATATGTTTAATTTTTTTAAAAATCAAGTTTATTCAAATTATAAATGAGATTAAGATGTGAGTAAAATAAATTAATAATTAAAATAATTTATCTGTAAAATACACAAATGAATGGATCGTAATAGAATAATAAATAATGATTGAATTTTATCAAAATTATATGTTATTATATTTACAAGGGCTAAAATGAAAGGATTTCCACCATGGCCTGGGAATGTAAGCTATATGGATGTATATATAATTTACTGCAAATCATTTGATAAATCATTTATTTGTATTGAATATATTTAATTAAACTACATTAATTATATTTTCTATTTAATCAATTATGATTATTTCTTTAACACAATTATAAGATTGTTGATGCCCCTGCAGAGATTAAAAAGCCATCTCAAGCCAACAAAAAACCATTTCATTGTGTGTATTTTTATGGATCTGAAAATTAGTAAGCTATAATAGAATTTATTTTTTTATTGGTATACAATAATTACTTTCAGTTTAAAATTTACATTTTAATATAAGTATTTTACAATCCATAAATTTAACGATATTAAAAATTAATTCACAATGTGATGCTGATAATACTAATGTGTTATTTTTAATGAGATTTTAATTTCATGTTCTATTTTTTCAAAACTCCTTCCCACTTTCACTCTAAGATGTATATTAAGAAGTAAGATGGCTGAATATATTCTTTTAAATTACATTAGCATTAAGCTGCACTGATATTAAATATTGGATTAGATAGGTCCAATATTTAGCATTTTTAAAAAATATTAGATTGGACCTATACCATTAATTTTATTGTTTTTTTGTATTTCATGTTTATATATTTATATATTGTTTACATTATTTTAATATTTCAAAAGAGCATATATTTATTTTTATAAAATAGAATAGTTTTAGATTTTTTTATAAAATAATAACTTACCCATTTTATTGTTTATATTAAGAAAGGATCTTTCATTTTTTATTATAATTTTTTAAAATGGCACCTGAGTTATAAAAATTCTTTACTAGATCAAGAGTATATAGATCTTTATTGCCCAAAAATCTATAGGTTCTCATTTTTATTAAAAAGTCTAGATATAATTTTATTTATTAAATATCAGGGGTGTGAACCCACCCAAACCCTCATGTTTTTGCTATACTAAAACCCATGAATGTGAACACGAAATTTTTTTTAACTGTTTGGTTTGGGTTCAATTCAGGAGAATATTTTTAAACCTGGGTTTAATTCTGGGTTCAGCACATATTTAGGAATTTTCGAAATGATAAATAAATATATATTTAAATCATAATTAATAAACTAGACAAAAATTAATATTTTCCAAGAGTTGTTCACTCAACCTAGATTCATATAGTGAAAGGATGAATTTCAAATGTGAAAAAGATCTTTCAACGCTAATATTAATTATATTTATATGAAAATATTATAACAACTTAGGTTGCAGGAATATCAAATAAGATTTTGGAGAAAATATATACATCAGGGTGCTGCAGCTTAGCAGACTCTCAAAAATGCAAAATATTTTCCTTCTTATCCAACCTTTTAAAATCGCCAAATTCAATAATTATTGTTCCAATACTTTTCTTTGCAATTGTTAGTCCTTCTTATAAGTATTTTCTCTTACCTTACCTTAAGTTGTATCAATTTCTCTAAATCATCCTTTTCAATAATTTCATCCGAACTATTATCATCAGATTAAATGGGCATGGATATGGGTTTAATCCTACCTTATAAATGAATGTGATGCCTTTTCATACAATTCTATTCATCATTAAGTAATATCTGTAATATTTAATGATTTCTGAAATTGGAAATATTAAAAAATCTCATTAAATTATTAATATTTTTACAATCACTGAACTTGGTTTTAAAAAATTATCAGGTTTGGTTTGAAGTTTTGGAAATTTTATAAACAGAGTTTAGGTTCAATTTGGGTTTATAATTTTTACAGCGTTTGGTTGAAATCACTGCTCAAACCAAGACCTGCCCTTTTTCAATGTGGAAGGTTTTAGGTATCAAAAATTTAAAATTTATATTATAAATTTTTTTATTCAGGAAAAATAAATTAAAATTTTTTTTTTATTTTTTCTTTGCATTTTTAAAAATTTCTAATTTTTATACTTACATTTTTATAAACATAAAGGTAAGGAAACTTCCCAGAAAATAACGGGAATATTCCTCTGGAAATTTTTATTTTCCCTTATATAAATATAATTTATTTTAAAAATTTTAATTTATTATATCATTAATTTTAAATTAATTTCTATTTTCCTCGTGATTATTTTAGTTTCCAGCATATATTCACAAAAGTATTTAAACTTATTTTTTTTATTAGTGCAACTCTTCAAATCTCAACGATATAATTTTAAAAGTACAAAGGTAAAATGTTAAACATTATATATTCATAATATTAATATGCTATATGAATTATTAATAATTAATGGTATATTTAAATTTGATATATAAGGATGAGAATATTATAATCATACTATATAACTGGTATTATAATAATTTATTGTTGTTTAATTTAATTCAATATGATTGTAATATTTTACAGATGCCTTGGAAAACTTCCAACATCAGGAAACATTTTATTCAAGATACAGCTGATAACAGGAAAGGATGTATCCCAATATGCAAATATTGTCAATTAACATAATTTCCCAAATTCCACAAAGACTCAGCATATTAGAAATGACAAAGGTTTTACAGTTTAATGAAGTTGATAATTCTACTGATGAGGATATTGTATGTATACCAGTTTCCAGTATTCCTAATAAAACCACTCTTAATACTTTTAAGGAAAATACCAATCATTTTAATAATGTATCAGGCATATCTAAAATTCAAAATTTTGTTGGTACTGTAACTTCACAAAACCAAACACAACTCGACAGGGCTATGGCTGCCCCTATCAATTATTAGAAAATAAATATTTTATCAAATTAATGCGCTCAGTCTATAAAATTCTATCAGGATACTCAATTAGCAAATTATTAGATTATAAGATGACAAATATTATCAACAACAAATTAGATACTTTGAAAGATTTTACTCGCATTAGTAGTGTTATTAAATGGCTCGATTTGAGCCGGTTTTCAAAACGGCTAACTTAATATTTTAGCTGGAAAAATATTGCCTAAACTTTAAGATTTCGCTAATAGATGTCCAACGCTTTTTGCCATCTATGACCAAATTTTTTAGGCTTGCAGAATATTTTTCTGGATAAATTATCGAGTTAGCCGGTTTAAAAATCGGCTCAAATTGAGCCGTTTAGCAACACTATGCATTAGCAATGGCTGGACAAACACATGGTCCATCATTAATTTCATAATTACAACGCTAAAACTTATTTTATTTAAATCCATTGACAGAGGATCTTGTACTAACATTGGTGATTAATTGCATCTGCGCTGATCTAGGCGATTGAAAAAATTGATAGTAAAAAAAAATTATTTCACTAATAACCAATAATGCAAAGAATATTAAAAATGCCTGGAGCTTGTTAAGGCAAAATATATAATGAATTCTTTGGATATGCCGCACATAACTTGATCTTCTTATTAAAGATTTATGTCAATTACATTTTATCAAAATGTTCATCATAAAAACCAAACATATAATTAAATATAAAAAATTTAATAGTATTTTATTGGTAACCTTCGAAGAAAAGCATATTGAAAGGATATAAATCTTCCTTAAATATTTCAAGTGTTTTGTTATAATGTTGTAAATTAGTGTGAAAAATAAATTTAGCAAGAAATTGCTATTTCAAGTTTATTTATAGACAAACATAAAAGGCATATTATATTGGGCAAAGAAGATACTGCGATAAATAAACCAGTAGTGATTTTTTTGGAATTTACTTATAACAAAATTAAAATTGTAGAATCGGATACAGCAGTATTATCTGATATATCAGAAATATTTTGGGATGAAAGATAAACTGAATTCATTTTCTTTTATTTTTAATGAAAATTATTTGAAAAAAGTTATGATGCATATTAATTAACGATAGAATTTTTTTTGCCGAGAATTAGTGATCTGCATCTTGCCTAATTTTTCAAACCTGGTCAGGCCCATTTTTTTTATAAAAATTTGTCTTGCCCAGCCTGATCCCGAACGAATTTTTTTTATATGTCAAAAAGCCCAAAATAAAAATTATTTGTCCGCCCGGCCATGCTCTTATTTAAATATAGAATTTTTTTTTTTGATTGTGAAAAAAATATTCTACAAATGTCGGTCTAGAATTGGAGTGCTCCACTTGCGCAAAAGTTTAAAATGAGAAAATAAACATTAAAGTTTAAAATCAAATATAGGAAAAACTTATTGCTCAATTTAATTCAAAATTTCAGAGATAATTTATCATATTGTTAATTAATTATAGCCTAAAAACTCAAAAAATTTAAATATAAAATTTATTTGATAAAATCAAAATGCAAGTGAAGCAAATATAACACTTTATGATTTTTTTAAATGTTATAAATGCTCCATTTACATTTTTTTTATCCAAATTAACACTTTATCTTAATTTTTTTTCTAATTTATTCTTACAATTAATAAAAATGGATATAAAATAAATCTAATATTTAATAATAATATTTTCCATATATTCTCTATCAACTCTGGGCATGAACTTTAACATTGATCTAATATCTTTTTTAGTTTCATCGTTTATTTTGCCATTCGTTTTCGGGATCAATTTAATATGCGAAAAATTTGTTGTAACTAATTCTTTGTCAAAATTAGGCCTACGTGTTTTTGAATCCTTTAAAATAGACACTTTAATCATATTATTAGATTTAAACGATAATCTATATTGCAAATAAAAAGGTTCCGTTTTTGAAATTTTTATTGATTTTAATTTAGTGAACGGTATGTGGTTAAATTTGAATTTTTTCGAAGTAGAATGGTAATCGAAATAATTATTTGAAGTCATTTCAATTACCTCAAATGGGTTTTTGCGATTAGTACCTCTTATTAATCTATAAAGAGTTAGAGGGCTATGGATCTCATTTTTTCTTAAGCATCTTTCTATTTGGCTATGTATTGAATCTACCTCTTGTAAAATCGAATGGCCTGGAGCACCATATTTGATTTGTATTGTTTCGATTTGACTGGTCGTGTTTGCTAAATAATGTTTTAAACCATAAATTATAATAGAATTTTTATTTTGGGCGACACAGGAATCAGCCCACAGAATTAGATGATGGATATTTGGGAATTTTTTTAATATCGCATCTACTAATGCTATCACACTGCAAGCTATGTCATTACCAGTTCTTCCGGTTTGGCCTTGATGCCAAATAGCACAATAACCACGTTTGTCTTGACTGCAATATGCAGTTTCATTATAAACAGATAATTTTCTTTTATAATAAGAAGATCCAACCTCATATCTTGGTAAGTTTATGACATTTTGAAGGTCAAATGAT